GTTTGTTTTTTGGCATGCAACTAATTCTGCAGTGTTTGTCGCAGAAACACTCTGACGACTGCTACAGTGTGGGTCTTGGTGTCAGATTTTCAAAATAAAAGCCCTCCATTTCTTAATGTAAGCTCAATGTGCTTTAAAATAGTTAGTCAGCAGATGTTAGTGATGCTTTACACTGAGTTATTGTTTTTTTGTTGTTTTTTTTTAAGGAAGGCCTTTTCTTTTTTATTTTAGGCTTGTTTTTTTTTTTTTTTTTTTTTTAAATAAAGCCCCTAGTTAGATCTAGGAAGTTATGAGGACAACAACAAGCAGTAGGTTTTTTTTTCCGAATAAAAGCCCCCAAACAGTTATTGGCTGGTATCAGTGTCTTCCCTGGTAAGTTTTATACCGCTGATCAGAATGAAAGCCTTTTAATTTAATATTTTTTTTCAGTTTCCTTCTGCTTCAGTAACTATTTCTTTTTTTTAAGTCCGCTTATTTATGTACAACTATTTAAGCAGCAAGCAGCCGACCAAGAACGGCAGTACCAACAAATCCAACACTCTTTCTCAACAAATTTTCAGTTTAACTTCAACTGACAGCTGTTCCCCTCCCATTGGGGTTCATTTCATAAATCTCACCCAATAGAAACCAAGATTTAGTAGGAATCACAGGAATTTGTGCTCCTGGTTTGCATGGAATTCTCGAGGATTTTTGTGGTAGGAACATCAATTTTTGTTTATGAGAGACAAGTGGGAACTAAAAGAAAGGATCTGACCTTCTGGCTGTGCTTATGAGACAATCTAATAAAGTCTTAATCAAGTAAACATTTATTTCAGTCGCTGCTTTGGTTTTTGGTCAAAAGACTAACATGTGAACTGCCCACAAGGGGAAAAACAAAGATTGGACAAAAGTGCTATTTTAGAGTCTGATTATGTGCTTGATGATCAAAATACTCCAGGCAAAAATGTTTTTAATATATCCCCCTGTGGCGTTTTGCATTGTGGTGACACATTTACCGGGTTGACAGGCAGCTGAAGTTAATCATTGTCCTATTAACAGTGTTGAAATTGTAGCATAAGAACGATCTATATCTCTGGCCTCTTGTGCTTCACGTGTTTACTAGTGAACTGCAGATATGTATATTTACTACCAAAAGTCTACAGTCTTACTTGTGTAAGTCAACTTTTTGTGATGCATAGTCTGGAGTCTTGCTGCAACAGAGTAGATGACTTTACACGTGGTTGCCTAGTTGGCAGAGGCAGGATGTAAACAACAACCAAGATGGCATTTAAAAACTTCCAGAGCATGTAATGTGTGTGTAACCTCACAGCTAGCAGTTCAATGTCAGAGCTGCTGAAAGTGACCTGGGTGGCGCAGTTTGTTAATAAAAGCAGCAATCCAGTCAACGCTTTCCTTGCCACTCTGATCTTTTCCTGTTACCAGAAATGCCTGAAAAGCTGTATCAATAGGAGCCAGTAATTCCTCTAGCTCTCCCTGAAATAGTACACGCAAGATTTATTGCAAAAGTTTTTCTTTTTTTGTTTTTTTGTTTTTAACCTGTCCTCGTTACTGAGGCAACAGGCTATGGGGAGTATTAGAAAACAAAGTTGTGTAATGTCAGTCGCTGTACTGAAAGATCTGTTTATGAATTGTAAGTGATAGGAAGTAGCTCCTTAGGTTTGGAAGTTTCAAATTAGCTCTAAAAATGGATTGCACATTGCGTTTGGATGCATTCTCAATCATCCAGGAAAGTAACTCTCCAAAAGTTGATTCTGTTCATCTGGACGTAGCATAGCGCTACGTCCAGATGAACAGAATCAACTTTTGGAGATTGCACATTGCCTTTGAGAATAATCGGAACATTTGGAAATTGACTCTTTAAATTGCAAGCAAGAAACTAGATTGTGGTGTGTAGTTTAATATTCCCCAAAAATAATGTCCAATTATTCAAATATTTGAGATTTATTGTGAAATAGGCTGCTATAAATACATTCATAAACTCAGATGGGTTTTAAATTTTGCTTAATTTAAACATCATCACTAACAGTTTTTTCGTGTTTTAGTTGTTTAAATGTGATTAAAGGTGAAAAATGTAGAACCCAACAGGCAGGTTTAGCTGCAACATTGACACCCAAAAAAGAATTACAAGTCTAAACAAAGTCCAAAAGGCTTGAGCAAACACCACAGTAATCTGCGAGACCACAAGGAGGCACACCAGGTGGAACAGCAGACAGCCTAACCAGTGACATGGGGCGAGACAGGAGTATATACACACAGGGCTGATAGGCACAGGTGAAAATAAATGAAGACAGGTGAACCTAATGAAGGTGGGGCAGGGGAATCACAAAAGTGGCAAAGTAACACACAAAGACACATATGACACTGCAAAAGAGGAAGTGAGTGGTAGTGACACAGAGTGAAGAAAAAGGAAATACAGGAGACATGAGAAAGTAATGCTTTTTAAGAAAATAAACATGATAAATCTTAAAAACTAAATAAAGACCTAAACACTATATAAGTCATTCATGAAAGTTTCTTTATGTCCAACCATCGTGTATCCAGTTTCGTTGACACTGTAGGATTTAACTGATATTCCATGTCCCCATTTGTGCACGTTCTACCTGGAGGAGCCGTCCCACCCCTACCCACCAGGCTTGATTGGTGTCCCCCTGGAAGAGGAGGTGGCTGCGGAGAGGGTGTTCTGGCCATCTCTGCTTAAATTGCTGCCCCTGTGACCCCAACCTAGATAAGCACTGAAAATGAAAGGATAGACAGCTATGGTTTAAATCTGTACCCTGCACCACAGAATGACGTGCACCTTCACAGTAATATAACTGCGTGTTTCTGCAACACAGACCACAACAGCTGTGATAGGGCTGTTTGGTAGCATTATATGGTATAACCTCAGTATATTGAGTAACACAGGGAGGATACCTCTGTGTAACAAAAGTTGTAACTGTCTCTTGCTTACAGTTATGCTAATAAAATAGCTAGTTTTCTGCACGTGTAGGCATTTTCTCATTTTCACAGTCATAAAAACACATGTATCAACTCAGCCTTCCTGCATTTTAGTAAAAGTAACTATTCCTGAAGTTTAGTCAGCTCCAGATCCAAACAAAACCTCCTGGTAGAGCAATACACACAGATCAATGCACATGTATAAATGCAAAAAATGACATCTCCCCTCAGTGAGGATTCAGCGCAGTACTAAATCATGCTGAGGTTTAGCCGAGACACCCTTCAGAGAAAGCTAATTTCCCCTGCTCACATTTCTGACCATATTCTTTTGGTCATAAAAGCATCACCATTCATCCAATTTTTCTTATTCAGTTCAGGGTCTTAGCTAGTCGCCAGTCATTTAGAGAGACAGATAATCATGCGCGCTGCCATTCACAACCACGGCCAACTTAGAATCAACAGTTAAGCTAGCATGTATGTGTTTGGACTCATGGAGGAGGCCAGAGTACCCACAGGAAGAACATGTGTTCCAGCTGGGCAGCAGATTCAAAAATAGGCTACAGTGCTAGACACAATGCTATGAGAACCTTATTGCTCTCCCTCCCATTATCACAGGTCAAAAATAAAGCAGCTGCTTTATAAAATCTTTATAGCTTCTTCAGCAGATTAAAACGATTCGCAATATGATGTGTTGTCAAATAAATGGATCCATGTGCAAGCCTCAGCTAATAGGGTTAAACTTCTTTGTCATTTGGTGACCAGCTTCCCACTCCAGCTCATAAAGGAAACTTTGAAGTGCTATTTCTATACATTATTATGAAATATTCTTAGTTTTACCTTACCTTTCAAGTTATTTTTTTTTTTATAATGGAAAGTTAGTGTGGTTGTGCATTATTGGTGTTTGTGTCGCTTACCCACTTAAATCAGCCAGACATTATACTTTAATAAATAGAGCCATGATACATTTTCTTTTATTTTTTACATATACTTCCCAAAGAAGGAATTACTGCTGATGGTCAGCTGTAGATATTCTTTGTCTTATAACTATGTGTTTAGGTTATACCGATGACAGGTTCCACTCACACGTCATGGTACAGGATTTCTGTTCTGTCACTTCCTGATTTATTTTGTAATTCTTGGACCATGTTCATTCCTGTTAGCTTTGCTTCTGGTCCTGATTACGTTTCCCTCCAATTTTCCACCACACCTGTCCCCAATCAGATAATCACTCTCCCCAGCATATATATTCACAGCTTCCCTTCCGGATAGCTTCTTTTTTAAAACAGCTTTTTCATGTTTGTGCTTTGTGCCCCTTTTTGGGTGAGGGATTAAACATGAGCAGAAGTGGCTATTATGACATTCAGGTAACAATTGCAAAAGAAACTGAGCATGTATGTAAAAGATTGTTGTTTTTTCTGTGCTCCTCCTCCCAGTCCATTGTGTCCTATAGAAAAGACAAAGGGCGTGAACTACAACTGCGCGCTTGCCTCCACAAATCTAAGTGAAACCACATTTGAGTATGTGCTTTCACACACACTCGCATAGACGCGCACGCTCACACAATCAGTACCATACACTCAGTCTCAGTCATGTAAAAGTCAGCGCTGCTTCCCGTTTTTCAGTAGTTCCGGCTTCTCTGTTGCTGTGTTTGCATAGACCGTGCCGAAAAGGAAGTCTACAGAAACTTTGCTCAGGAAGAGAGGGAGAGGAGAAGCGCAAGGAGATCGTACTTTCAGGAGGAGGAGGTTTTCCTACTGTTGTGAAGTTTGCTGCAGGGTCTCTCTGCCTGAAGCCATGGGGGCGTTTAGAGGTGTTGAGAGAACTGGAGGGAGCAGAAAAGTGCTTTGAAAGACAGACCAACACGTGTTGTTTTTTTTTTTTCCTTTTTTTTTCCCCCTAAGCAGTTTTGCTGTGTGAGTGAAAGAAGTAAACCGGATAATTTTGTTTTCTCCTGATGGATTTTAGAGGGAAACCCTCCTCTGCCTTAAATTCCTGAAGAACAGACACCGCACGCAAAAACTCTCTCACATGTTAGTGGGATGTTATTAGATGCTTGAAGCAACATGGAAGCGCTGAGAGAGTCTTTTCTTAATTTGACTTTTCAGATGTCCGCATACAGGCGAGCCACCCTGGACGAGGAGGATGTGGTGGACTCCACCAGTGACGATATCTACCCATCAGCTCCCATGCAGGTAAGAATGTAAATACCTTGGGCTAAAAATAAGAAACTGGTTCGTGCTGGTACTGGATTATTATAAAACATGTGGGTAAGTGTGTAACTGAGGTTTTGCACCTGGTGTAAGATGACACATTTTCTAAATTTCAATTACAGATGAACCAACAGCGGCTTAGGCTTATGATTAGTTTTTTCTTTTTAACCAAGCTGCCCTCGTTTAGTGGTTCAATAAAAGCTGCCACTCTAGCCGTAGTATTAGTTTAACAGGTCTATCCGTAACTTTAAGATATCTAGTACTTAGAAATGTATTCCTATTCTGATTTATGAAGGAATTTGAAGTCTTCATGTAATGTTGCATTGGCCAAAACATCTAAATAGAGGCCTCATTCTGAACTGAGCCTGTGTATGAAATAGAAGATTATAAGATTAGTGAGTATATTTGCATGACAGTTGAACGAAAGATGGCCTAACCGCTAGTGAGCTGGGACATATCCTCCCCAGTGTCTGTAGTTCTCAAACTAAATTTGGATCCACTGGAATACTGTTAATGAATACTTTTTTTTTTTTTTTTTTTTAAAAAAGGCTTTAAACTCTTCCAGAAAAAGTCACCGAAAAAAAACTGGTCACATCACTTGTGTGGGTTTCCTCCAGTTCTGTCCAGAGACAGCATTTTGTTTTTGCTCAGTGATGGACGGGGTGCACCCAACTCCCACCCAGCATCAGCTGGTATCAGTCCACTGAAACTGGTTGGATAAGCAGTTAAGAAAAGGAATGAATTGATGGAAAAAAAAATAGCTGTCATTTTTATCATTTTCATACATGTTGGGTGCAGATTGCAGCTTCTTATTATTTTTTTTTATTCATGGTGGGGACAAAATAAAACACCTGTAAAATAAAATTGTCAGTGCTATAACTGAAAACGGTCTATAGTTCAAACAATACTGAAATCTGAACTTTGCCTCCACTGTTTCGCTTGGCTTTCAGTGTGGCATCAAGCACAAATTAACCATGTCAACAGTAAAAATAATAAAGCTAGCTAAATTAAAGAATTCCCAACAGCAGGTTGGGAAGAGAAGACCACAACGCAAGAATATTCCACAAATTGACTTTAGTTTTAAAACCGAATGAAACTGGTTGCTTTTTTTTTTTCTCCCCATTGAGATGAAGTTGTCTTTATATTTTTTTTTTTATGGTTTTCACACAAGGAAGTTGTTGCGCACAGACGCTGAAGCATTTAAGTGTGAAATCCTTTGTATTTTCTGCTTTATGAAAGAACTCAACATGTATAAAGGATTTCACTGAGACTGCAGATAGAGCATTTGGCCTCATTCCTTAAGTTAAACAGTGTACTGTTCATGTCCATACAATGCAGACAGACACTGCTTTGTGCAGTTCATTCTTCAGTTCGTTCATTCTTTAGGTGCTTTATTTAACCAGGATTGAAACAGTGTTCAAACTGTCTAGATTCAAGTATAAAGTGTGGGTTTTTATTTTCCTAAGACTGTGGCAGACTACAGGTGAGAAAGACTTGGCAGTGATTATCCCAATTGTGCTCAGAAGTGCAGCTCTGCACCAAACCTGCTTAATTCACTTAAGAAGCTGCCTTTGCTTCGATCACACTTTAATTTGACTTGTGAAAATGTCTTCTAATAGCAGCAAATCTGATCCCTATATTTATAGTTTGGGCATACCTGGCTTAAACAGTGTAGTGTGTGGAATGAATAAAAGCCACCATTTATTTATAAGAGTCTCGTTCAGACTGACCAGAGTTTGTAATGTGTCCATTGAAGGATATGAGTGACTCTTGGAGTCTTTGAGCCACTTTTCAGCAGATTGTTATCGGTAAACTCATTTAAAGGGTGAACACCAAAAGCAGCAGATAAAGTTCAGTGTTGTCTTGTCTTATATTAGGCCAAAAGTAAACTGCTTTTATTAGTGAGGAAACAATGAAAGTATGCTTGACCTCTTTCCGTGTATGAGAGCTGAGGAGACTAATGGAGACGCCATTGTGCTGTGAAACCATACCTGTCATCAAATCCCTGAGAAACTTTGTCTATACACAATATTTTCCAGTTTTTGTTCACAAGTAAATACACTCATTGTGTGTCATTCATGCAGTAGTGTTTGTGGCTTTGAATTTAAAAAAGCCATCTAAAGGATTTGTGTATGTGTAGGTGAGTCTTCTGCGTGGCCGTTCCTCGTGTTGGCCGAGCAAGACACGGGTGGAGAGGAGGCTAATGTGCTTGGTGTGCGTTCTGTCAGTGGGCCTGTTCGTAACTCTCATCACAACTGGGATTTTCTACAAACGGAGTGAGTTCAAAGTTTTATTGACACCTCAATATTACTATTTTTTTTTGATCTTTCAGTGATTTTATATTAATCTTTATTTTTTCTGAACTCCACAAAAGAATGAAAGAATCCTAGCCTGTAATTAACTTATACACTTAAGTTTTAAAATCAGCTGTTTCTAGTAACTAAGAAAATGATGCAGAAACAATCAAAATATTAGAATTTTCAAAATAAGTTTATTTCTAAAAAATAAAATAAAAAATTACACACAACTTTCCTTTCTCCTTGCCCCATCATCCATGTCTTGTGAAAGCTATAGGTGAAGTAGACAAATTATTGTTGGAGAAATTTTAGAACGGTCACAGCTACACTTACAAATAGATGGCTCAAAGGTGACCCTGCTTGATCCCTTGAAAGTTGAGGCCAATCAACAAATTTGTGCTTGATGTATTAGACACTCTTTTGCAATGTAGAAATGCAAAGGGTGACCTTGTGTCCACAAACCCAGAGCAAGACACAAGAAAATCTAGCAAAACATACAAGCGCTACCCCATTCATGCATTTTTCTTCCCTTTATCCAATTCAGGGTTGTGAGTGGGATTGGGAGATCCCCCTGAACAGGTCTTGGGCTATTACAGTGTTAACACATGGGCAATTGTTCATGCTCACATTTACATCTTCAGCCAGTTTACTGTAAAATCACCTAACCCTCTGAATTGTGGGAAGAAGCTGGAGTGTCTGCCAAAAAAACATGCAGACACTGGGAAGACTTGCAAACTCCTTAGAGAAGGCCCAAACCCAGAATATTCTTGCTTTAAAGTGACAATGCTGACCACTGCTGTCCTAAGTGTTTTGAAAAGTCACCTCTGCAAAACATGAAATGGAAGTGATACACAAGAATGCTACACCCATTTTAATTACAGTAGTACCAGTTGGCCTCTTTGCTTAATCAAAGAGACATGGCTCCTTTAAAAAAAAATGGCACCAGGCTTTGTTTTGAATATCCTTGCCTCCAGGGTTTAAAGGTTATATTTGTACTTCTAAATGTGAAGCTATAGCAAAAAGCTTACTTACTGCGCTTTTTTTTTTTTTTTTTCTTTCATTGTTCTGCACAAGGAAAGACTATAAAACTGCAACTTGCAGGGTGGGGGGTTTATTAAATAGGGAGTTGTGCAACGTTTGTTCTTACTAGACTTATTAGATTCTTACTAGAATGTCTGGATTAAGTTTCTTCAAGTCTAAGCCAGAGACCTTATAGAAGAGGGAGGCATGGCACTCAATGTTGTGAAAAAAAGTAAATATGACAGAATTCTATAATGGTCCAAATGAAGAGTGGGCAAGTAAACTTGAAATTATATTAAAACTAAGTCTGTAAACTTTAAGCTTTTTCTATACATCTACATTTTGTCTTGGCATCCATTTAAAAAATGTTTATGTTAATAACACTTCAAATAAAACCCTAAGTGTTTGCTTGGGGGGTATTTCCCAACCAAGAGCAAACCAGCTGCCAAGTGGCGAAATTTGTTTCTGGAAAGACTTTGGTATAGCAAAGTTAACTAAATACACTGAACAAAAATATAAATGCAACACTCTTGTTTTTGCTCCAATTTTTCATGAGCTGAGCTCAAACATCTGAAAAATTTTCTACATGCACAAAAGACCCATGACTCAAGTATTGTTCTCAAATCTTTATAAATCTGTGTTAGTGAGCACTTTACTGAGATAATCCATCCCACCTCACAGGTGTGGCATATCAAGGCTGATTAGACAGCATGAATATTGCACAGGTGTGCCTTAGACTGCCCACAATAGGCCACTCTGAAATGTGCAGTTTGATCAAACGGCACAATGCCACAGATGTTGCAACCTTTGAGGGAGCGTGCAACTGGCATGCTGACTGCAGGAATGTCTACCAGAGCTGTTGCCCGTGAAATGAATGTTAATTTCTCTACCATAAGCCATCTCCAAAGGCGTTTCAGAGAATCTGGCAGTACGTCCAACCGGCCTCACAACCGCAGACCACGTGTAACCACACCAGCCCATGGCCTTCACTTAGAGCAGGGGGGGGGCGAGGTATGACATTTTTCTTGTAAAACAAAGGGGGCCCAGCAAAAGTTTGAGAACCGCTGACCTAGAGGATCGCCTGAGACCAGCCACCCAGACAGCTGCAGCAATTGGTTTGCATAACCAAAGAATTTCTGCACAAACTGTCTAAGGGAAGCTCATCTGCATGCTCGTTGTCCTCATCGGGGTCTGGACCTGACTGCAGTTCGTCGTCACCGACTAGAGTGGGCAAACTCTCACATTCGATGGCGTTTGGCATGTTGGAAAGGCGTTCTGTTCACAGATGAGTCCTGGTTTTCACTGTTTAGGGCAGATGGCGTGCGTGGCGTTGTGTGGGTGAGCGGTTTGCTGATGTCAATGTTGTGGCAGTGGGGTTCTGGCAGGCGTATGTTAT